AATCTTACAACTCTGGCACCTCAGGAACTTCCTCACCGAAGCAAGTTTAGAAGTCAAGCTTCCGACTTATGGACAGATGCAGCAACAGTGGTGAGAGCAGTCAGGGAAAAGAAAGAGTCAGTAGAAAGAAGATCAAGGTGCGCGAAAAGGTAGAAAAGTCGCGAAACAGTGTTTCCAATGCATTGTGGCTCCGGAGGGTCGAAAAGTAGGCTCGCTAAAGCGGCAGGTGCGGAGCCATCTGGTCGTATGAGAAATGCACGCCGCCAATGTCCAAGCCGAGGAGGACTTTTGCTGGGCTGTTCAAAAAGTGCAAGCCGTTGTGGCGCGAAGGACATTTCGGAATCAAAATGTTAAAAGCACATAAAAGCACACCATTCTTGGAGCACTTTTGGAACTTAAGATGTTCAAAAAGTGCACGCCATTGTGGCGGTAAGCACATGTCCAAGTCAAAATTATAAAAACACACCATGTTCGGACCACTTTTGGAGGTTGAGATGTCCAAAAAATGCGCACCATTGAGGCGCGAAGCAATCTGGAAATCAAAAAGCACAAAAACGCCACCTTCGGACAACTTTTGGACGTTCAACCGCACCACACTACAGCACAACAACAACAACAACAACAACAACAACAACACCAACAGCAACAGCAACAGCAACAGCAACTGCAACTGCAACTGCAACTACAACTACAACTATAGCTACCACAACAACTACAGCTACAACTACCACTACACTACAACTACAGATACACTGCACCTACACAACACAACACAACACAACACAACACATTACAACACAACACAACACAACACAACACAACAGTAACACCGCACTGCACTAGACTACAACTACAACTACAGCTACAACTCCACTACACTACACTACAGCTAGAAAAACAACTACACCTACACCTACACCTACACAACCACCACCAACAACAACAACAACAGCAACAACAGCAACACCAGCAACATCCACAACAACCACAACCACAGCCACAAGCACAAGCACAAGCACAAACACAAGCACAACAACAAGAAGCACAATAACAACAACAACAACAACAACAACACCAACACCAACACCAACACCAACAACACCAACAACACCAACAACACCAACACCACCACCACCACCACCACCACAACCACCACCACCACCACCAGCAGCAGCAACAACAACAACAACATCAACAACAACAACAAAACCCAACAACCAACAACCAACAACCAACAACCAACAACCAGCAACAACCACAGCCAACAACCAACAACCAACAACAACAACCAACAACCAACAACCAACAACCAACACCAACACCAACAACCAACAACCAAACACCAACCACCAACCACCAACCACTAACCACCAACCACCAACCACCAGCAACAACAACAACAACAACAACCACAACCACAACCACAACGACAACGACAACGACGACAACATCAACAACAACAACAACTACTACTACTACTGCTACTACTACTACCACCACCACCACCACCACCACTACTACTACTACCCACAGACGCCGCGTGTTGCCCAGACATCAACATTGAGGATGTCGTGTTGTTGAATAAGATAGGAGAGATTGCAGAACATACTGCATATACACAAAGTTTTCTCGTTTAGGATTCAAAGTTTTCAGGGTTTAGGTTTTAGGGTTTAGGGTTTAAAGTTTTAGGGTTTTAGGTTTTAGGGTTTTTGGGGTTAGGATTTAGGGTTTAGGGCTCGTCGTTTGGGAAATCTCAAAGCACTGGCCCTGCGCAGGTGTTTGAACATGTTGAAGGATAATGCTTAAACGCCATGTGAACTTTCCGGGCAACACGCAGCGCCTGGCCGTACTACAACTACTACAACTACTACAACTACTACAACTACTACAACTACTACAACTACTACAACTACAGCTACAACTACAACAACACCAGCTACTACTACAGCTTCAACTACCACTACACTACAACTACAACTACAATGACACTACAAATACAACTACGACTACAACTACAGTATATATATATACACACTACAACTACAACTACACTACACCACACTACAGCCAGGAGTTGACTATGCACAACTCCAACCACCTTTCCGTCCATCAGTGGATTCGCGCTGCCATCCATGCATCACAACAGCTTACCGTCCTATAGTTTCCTATTAAAACTTCCGCCACCGCCTTGTGCGGTCCTACGGGTAAGATATAAACAGTCATAAGTAGCAGAAAACATAAGTATTAAATGGGCATATCACCAATCACAGGCTGAGATGCTGGTCCAACTATCCATTCATCCATCACTCCACCCATACATCCTAATTTAATACTCTATACAGCTATAATCAGCTATACATACCTGGGATGTTGACGTAATATGGTAAAGCCAAAAATATAACGTTCCTCAGTTGACCAAAGTTTACGACTCTAACGGCATTAGAAACAATAATGGTCCCAAAATGGAGATTGTTATTGTGTTTAACACATTGCGTACAACATGGTGAATCTTAGATACCTGGCAAGAAATCCAATTTTTAGCTGATTAGTACATTTTACCATTGATAGCAAAAGATTCAAGTACTAGCGTATCTAACCAAGGTTGACCCAGAGGGTATGAGAATATCATTGCAGTGTAGGCCCGTCCAATTACAACCCATCCTACTGTAGACATATGGGTGGCCCACATTGTCGGATGTTGTTCACCTTTTTTCACCCCTGTGTCTGAAAATAGGGTACCCCTTCATCCATGTGTTACTGTGATAATGATTATCCAATCAAAATTGCAACTTTGGGAGGATATACAGACAGTACCCAATTCTCAGACACACCCAAAGCTCACATTGTTGGAACATATCTCCCTTGTTGTATGCAACATATGCAACAGCCCCGTTTATTCATAATTTATTCTTGGTTAAATGATGTCAAATCCCAATTTTTTAGTTTTAAGCATCCAGTGCTGAAGTTCCCTTCTGCAAAAACGAAGTTCTTTTTCCCACTGCACAATTTTTCGACACAGCTGCGCCACCCGTCGAGGGTAGCCTTTGGAGGCCACGTGTGGAGGATTCCAATAACTCATGGCTTGTTCATCAACAGGCATAGCCTGCATAGCTTATCTTTCATAGCCTTCATGTTACTTCATGATATTTCATGTTATTTCATATTTGTCAATTCTTAGCTGGATTCTTCATTTTCCCAGTTTTTTTGGGCAGAAGAATTAGCCCTGAACCACCTAAATGTTGACCCACTCGTGGATTTTTCTTGAAGCAGCTGCTGGTCGCAACCACTGCTCCATCACGCGACACGCGCTGCCATCCTCCACTTGACGATGGAAGTTTCTGGAGTGATTAAACACACATAACACCAGAATATCAGGACCATTTGTAGCAATTCCAAAAAAAAACACATGCTTTTGCAGCTATGTCATTATGTAGATGTCTCTGGATATGCAATCTTATTCATATGTACATATGTATCATAGTATTATCGATATCATACATATATATATAATATGTATATTATATATACTGTATATATAATGGATTATTGTGGACGATGGCACCACCCTGCGGTTGCGTTGCTACTAGCGATGCCGACCTTTGCGGACCAGCACACCAGCTGCCACATGTTTCAGGATGCTACACAGATCCCATTCATTGAGGTACATAAAGTTAATAATCCCATACCAAGATCATCATGGACCCTGCAACACATGATCCCAAAATAAACAAAGCCACAACATTCCACCCTGGTTTTTGTGTGGGTGTTTGTGAAGTTTTACTACTGGGGAAAAGGGCGTACATCATATACACGTTCACCTTAATGTTCAGGACCAAACCATTCTGACTTAAATCAGCTGCACTGAGTTGAAACCATATGAGTAACTATAAAGCCAACCTGAGGCACCATTCCTGGATGTTCCGAACTCAAGTATATAGTTATAAAATGCACTGAAATGCTATAAACCAATTACCGGTGAGACTTGTTCCAGGTTTTGAGATGACAACCTGCAAGGCTTGACATCGCTGCAAGGCTTGACTCACATCTCGTGGGAAACCTTTCTATAGATGGAACGCATGTCCTCCTGCAAGATTATAAGATGAGTACCATGTTCTTGCATATATCATCCCTTCCCCCATTCAAAAAACAAACACCCCCCGAAACCATGGCTTACAAGCGGGATGTTTAATATTGGGGAAGGGATATGAAGGGATTGGGGGAAGGGAGATGAAATGATATGAAGGGATCATTATTGTTTGTTCCTTGTATATACTTCTTGGTTAATGCAATCTTGTCGGTGAAATTCCAATCCGGGCTAACCAGCCATTTTTTTTGATGCTCAATCTGTTCAAGTACGTTGCTCCTCCTTGCTCTTCTCCTTGCTCTCCTCCTTGCTCTTCTCCTTGCTCTCCTCTTACCTTCCTCCTTGCTCTCCTTCTTGCTCCTCGCTCTTCTCCTTCCTCTCCTCTTCCTTCCTCCTTGCTCTCCTTCTTGCCCAACCAATAACGTACATACGATTTTGAGGATGACGGTGACGCCACGATTTCCTTTGATAAATCTTCGGATGTGCCATGCAGCTTTAAACAGTATCCATATTCTGTACTTGTACGTATACTGTAAGTCGTTGCAGGAAGTTCCTAACAAAGTGATTATAATATATATATATAGCTACCAATTGGTTACCTCTATACATATATATATATAGAATATATACATAGAATAGAGATAATACATAATGTACATACTGAGGGGGGGACAAGCAAATCGTAAACATCTACAATCCCATACAATCCCTATCAGAAGATATCAGAAGCATCAAAACTCAGCAGCCATGGGTCTGGTTGTCACTTTTCTTTCGAATTGTACCTATGGTAATTTAACATAGCCTAGCTATTGAGAATGGCCAATTTCTAGCCATTCACCATGGTGGTTTTCCACAACAAACTGTGATTGCGAGAGGTTATCATCATTTTTCACGAGTGATGCTGGCAGCTGCGTCGTCAGCGTCGTTCGAGCGCTTGTAAGTTCACGGCTGGCCAAAACTCTGTGCGCTTCCTTGGTCCGTCGCTTGCTGCTTAAGATTCCACCTGTTCAAATCATCAAATGGTGGTTTACCATTACCAAAATGACCTGGGTTTCTATGAATTTATGGTTGATCAAAAAACTTGACTATCAAAATGGCTGTATATTGGTGTATCTAGCGTATCCCCGTTTTCAGAAGACCCATTTAAATTCCTCAAAAGGGGCTGTAAAACATGGCTTTCACACACACTGTTTGGTTGGTACTTTTAGAGATGGGGCTGCGTTCCAAATAAAAATGGATATGTAAGTTATAATATATCTATGGAGGTTTCCTGGGGTACCCCAAAATTATCCATTTTAATAGGGTTTTCCATTATCAACCATCCATTTGGGGACCCCCCATTTATGGAAACCCCCATATAACCATCCAACATGATCCAACATGGGGGTTTAACAATAAAATGGCTGGTTGTTGGTATCTACATGTATCTCCTCTAAACTCTAAACATTTGAGCATGGGTCAGTGCCGTATGTAAATTTGTTTGATCTGCAACAGAACCATGCTCATTTCACTTGGTGAAATACCGTCAGTATATCCATCTTTAGTCATCTTTGTTGGCAGTATCAAGTGAACAGTGTTGAAAACCCTATGTCGTCCTTTATGCTGTACACTGCTTGGCTAATAGGAATTCCATGGATTTCCCATAATGGATTATGATAAGCCCTATGTTGGAGAATATAATCGCATCTGATCATCATTCAACATTGGTTTTGAACCCTGCACAACGGCCCAAGACATCCAAGACTCTTGTCCGGCATCGATTCAATAGAGATGCTCTTGATCATGTTCCTAAGCCACCGATGTCTTGGTCGGAATCTGACACCCATTGGATCATTGGGATGAACGTAGCAGGACACTTCAAAGTCAACCTTCAAACTTGAAATTTACAGAAAAAACACTGAAACATACTGAAACGTCATTTGCAAGGCCTGCCATGCAGAATTGTAAGTAATTATGCTGCAGTTGGCTATTCTCAGCTGTGAATCAGTGCAACATAAGTCACAAGGTTGGGACTTCTTATTGGTTTTTAGGACACATCCCGAGAAACATCAAGTCTTAAACAGCACGGTTTGGTGCAAAATGGTCCGAAATTGGACATCAGAGAATTGCATGGATACGTACCAACAACATCCAACAACTACCAAACTCATTTTTTTCATGTCTTTTCCTTGGGTCTGCAGTTTTTGCACAACCGTTTTAAGATCCAGTAACCATCGCCCAGCCCAGGGACCATTTCAGCCAGAAATAGTTGGCGCATCCGTCTGGGAGATGCTGCCGCAAGATGCAACTGCTGTCACCATCTTGCACCTGAGGACCACTCATGTTTTCGCTGGAATCACTGGATTGGTTTAAGGGAAAATCTACAGGAAACCATGGTTTTTACCATCAAATATAGGTCTTTCCTGTAAATTTTCCCATCATCCAATTCTATGATGGAAAGTGTCGAAATCCAGAAAATGCGGCAACCATTTTGGCAAGAAAAAATTATTGGTCTCCCCCAACAAGAAGTGGGGATGAAGCCCGAAAAATGATCAAGGATGATGATAAAATTGGATTTCCAAGTGAAATGCCTGGAGACCATGTGTGGAAACCCAATTTTTGGACAAATATGATCAACTCGTCTCGTCTCGTATGGAACAACTCCAGATATCCACCATCTCACTCAGTCATACACCGGGGTTGTGCGTGGACAAATGTTGGATGATTTAGTTTGACACCGAATCATCCGAGAGGCAGTATGGAAGTGTTTTGTTAGTGGTGCTCTGCACCCGGTGATTCATCTTGGTTCTATATATTAAATCATTATATATCATATTATATATATATATACACATAAACCTCTATATATCATATGTGTATATATGGTCCAGCGTTCCAACCCCCCTCCCCCCGCCCGCCATGGATAGCTTGCAAATAGAAGGGAACGGGGTGCTACCTGGGGACCCATACCATTGGGGGGGGTAGGAACACGGAACACGAGACCATATATATATATAATTATATATATATATATAGTGAATAGCAATTCATCACTCTTTTGGTAGAATTTTCACAAAATCGTGCTGGTTCCTAAAGAATGTATAGCCTGTCGGGCCCGGGCACACAATAGAGTTCGCCCTTCAGCTCGTCGCCCTCCTGTGTCGTGAGCTTGAGCTCGGCGCCCAGGAAATGTTCCGAGCCCTTGGATCGGATGTATTTCCTGGAGCGGGGAACCGGTATCCGTCCGACGTCAGACTCTTTAAACATCTGACGAAACAGCTGAGTTTACTCAAACACCCCGAAAGGCTGGAAAAAAATTGGGTCTTTGAAAAATTGCAAGTTCTTTGGGATGTGCAGCATCTTCTTGTACTTCTCTCAAAGTGGAGTAAGGCTCTGAAACAACCCTACTAAATGGGGCCATAACGCATAAACTCATAACCCATCGAAAGGAAAACCAGACGAGTTCAACCTCCAACATCTTTGTGACTGTGAATCTGATAAATCTGATGTTTGTGGATGCTCACTGAAAGTCATGGCCATTCCATGCCATTCCAAGTATCAACGCCACCCAAAATAGATCGAGCAATCACCTCCCTAAAGTGGGAAAATACTCGGAGAGTTTTGGGCTCAACTTGGCTCAACACCTGCAAACCCTGGCTTTAAGCACGACAATCAACAACTTCCCAGAAGCTTGGGCTGAACAGCCCCGATATCTCTCTCCCTCTCTCTATACATATATATATATATATACCTCTTGTAAAAACCATTCCAGAACTGGGCAAATGGTTGTCTTCAGATGGTTCTTGTGTAGAGAAAGGTGGCTAGCCCACTGTTTATAGCTGGGTTTCGTCTTCAAGTGGCTCTTAAGAAAAAAACATGCCACATGTATGATTAACATTGATACATGATACTCAATAGTTCGGTATACTCTCCGGTAGTCATGCCTTCAAATCTAATGTGGATAAAACAATTATAAACCATCCCCCAGTCATCACCATTTTTATAGGTGATATGTTTACCATTCCCAGTCATGGGTGGTGTATGGCATTGTTTTACCTACATTAATTATGTTTGGTATATAGTTATTGATGATTTATAACTATTGGTGCTATTGGCAACTATTGATGTTTGGTAATTGTTGATGAGGCAATTATCCAATGTTATTAACATCTATTAACATCACCAATAGATTACCAATTATCCAATGTTAATAGATATTATTGGTATGTTTGGTAATTATCCAATAGATTGTTATTAACATCTATTAACATCTATTAACTATTGGCTAATTGCCAGCTACCAGCTACCTCCATGGTGCCACGGGGATTGCGGCCATCGCCAAGCGGCTCCATCTGTTCATGGGTTGCTTGCTGCACCGTCACCTGGACCAAGGCGTCCAAGAACATGTTGACATGGCTTTGTTGGATATAATGGGCATATGATCATTTTATGGATTTTTAATGATTTTTATGGGCCATACATGGAATTCGTAAGATTGCGATGGAGAATGGGATGTTATCCTCTGGAAATCTAATCGTCGATGGAGCATGGCCCTGAAAGTGGATGATCAATCCCAATTAATAATTAAACATGCTGATTTTCCATAACTACTAGTATGTTAGATTACTGTATCCGACAAAATGGCAACTTTGGATAGGGCAATTGTGTTCTAAATAATTCTAATTCATGGGATTTTATCTCTTCAACTATTCCTTGCATGGTTTCAAACCCGTGAACATCACCATCCCAAACATGGCTGGTCGGTAGATTCCACGCGTCCCAAGACTATCGGTGACTCTCACGATCAGTTAAGAAACATGGGTGTACTGAGGAATCGGTGGATACCCTCTGGTAAACTAACATAGCTATTGAAAATGGTCATTTATAGTGAGTTTTCCCATTAAAAATTGTGATTTTCCATAGTTTTTTGTATGTTTACCAGTGGATAAATATCTGAAACGGTTGGTCTCAAGCCATCCCAAAACGAAACACCCGCGAGGCCAGCAACCAGAATGGCAGCTTTTGACACGTCCAGTCTGCCAGTTGGATAACCGGAGTCTCATCATGACCACCAGCCCTCCGATTTTCCATGTAGCTATGGCCCCCCCCAAAATAGCTGGGACTTCTGGACGTCCGTCTCTCCTTGGAAATTTGATTTATCCACATCATTCTCACCCAGTCTCATTGTATGCCCACGAATTCTTGGTTCTGTCCCACATAATCCATATATATATATATATATGTACTCATTTATGTCTTAGGGAACTTGATCCATCATGATCCATCCCCATTTCACAAAAATGGCCTGGATGTTGACGCTGCCAAAGTCCGCCAATTTCTCGGACATGTTCCTGGGAGTAGCGCTTGGATCTGGTCATCCAGAAAGTACCCTCTGGTAAACATACAAAAAACTATGGAAAATCACCATGTTCAATGGGAAAATCATGGAAAATCCACTATTCCTATGGGCCATGTTCAATAGCTATGTTAAATTACCAGAGGGTATGATTTTAAATGTTTCCTTGACATTAAATGTCCCTTCGGAATTTAACTTATACTTATACCGTTCTCTCCTTTTTCGTTGTTTAACATAGATATGTAAAATTGTTGATTTATAGATGATCTATGTTGATTTATATCTATATATATATAATCTATATTATACATTGATATTTAACATAGATGATTTACCCATTCCACATGGTGATTTTCCCACTGGCTCCGGCGCGACCGAAGTGCTGGAGTCAAGGCTCTCAAGGCTCACGGCAGCGTCAACCAGGTCATGGGACTCTAGTTCTGTACATAAACAAATATATATATACATACATACATAATACATATGTTGTATATATATATATATAACTTAAATTATACAGAATTATATGTATATTATATTATATATATAATATTCATATCTGATTGATGGTTTCGACTTATCACAACATCTCAATTTGATGAACGGATCCCATGAACGCCTTGCAAGAAAACACCGCTGCCAGGCGACGTTAAAGGAGCCCCGTCCCTCTGCAAGGAGATCAATTCTTCGGGCACGTGAAATTCCTCTGCGAGGTTCGTCATCAATGAAGCTGCGCGCAGGCGTGGGGCTGGACCGGTGGCTGGTTCAAACGAATTCCATGGGATTACCCATGGGATTGGCTAGGTCTGGTCTGGGCCAAGGCTTGCCTCTCTTGGAAAAGAGGTGCAAGCTCATACTTTCAGGATCTATTCTATCATTTCTGAAGTAAACCCATCCTGAAAAGCCAACTGGTCAGGATTTTTTCAAGCAAAACTTGCAAACAATCCTAGTTTGACTGATTGGAAAAGGACATTGATATCATCCCCAAGGGAAAAGCACTGTTTCTGCGCAAGATATGACCGCCATGACCGCCTATTGCCCAGTGCGGTGGAAAAAGTCGCGTGCCTACAGTATCTGTTTGTGAGGGCTGCGTCAGAATCGTTTCATTTCCTCAGCTCAGCGACTTCAGTAAACTTCAGTAAACTTCAGTGACTTCAGCCTGGCGGTAGCAGTTCAATCCAGGGGAACCCCATCTTTTGCATTTTTGAGAAACTAACATGGCCCAATTTCTTACACATTCCGGGGGTCCAAGCATTCACTACATCAATCACACAGCTGGTGACACACTGCATGTATATAATCATCCCAACGTGGCCCAAGCTCAGCTTAGTTGGGCATCTTCAAGACAATCAACCTGCCCTGTGAACATCCGTATATAGCCATCATCAGTACATCAAAATTATATAACAACTATATCATGATTATCATAATTATATACATTTATTATGATTATAAGGATTAACAGCCTTCTAACCGACATAGTTTCAAAGCGTGCTAAAATGGCAACTAAGTGGCGATTCACCAGCACCAATTTGGGCATGGGCGGCGCATTCCGCATGTGTGGCGGCCGGTAGGGCGGCATGGCGCGGTCTTTGGGTCCACCCCCCAGCGAGGTGGCGCTAGAAATTTGACACTCGGCTGCGGCATCCGTGTCGAAATGTGTTGCAACTGATTGAATCATGACTGACTCAACTATGATTTCACGATATCATTCCCCAATGCAAACCATTGTTCTTGAAGTTCTGTCTGAAACTAGATGGGTCATGATGGGTCTGTCTGAAAATAGGGTACCCCCTCAAATATCCTCAAATCCAATGGTTTTAATGTTCATTTCACCCATTAAAATTACAATTTTAGGGTATACCGGGTATAGCCCATTTTCAGATCGACCCATCATCAAGATGGATATGGAAAATCATGGCAACTCCATCTAAATAGATCGCTTCCTTCTCTATACGCTATACCATTTACTGGTTGGTTACAACTCCCCGGAATAAAATCATTGTGGATCATCATCCCATTTCTATGAGCATCTATTTTTGTCCAATTAGTTTTTTTTAATTATTTTTTTAAATGTTGGATAACATGGTATAACATCTTCCAACTCAAAAGAAGTGTGTCTGAAAATCGTGTACCCCTCAATCCATTGGATTTTCAATGGATTTTCATCATTTTCTCTGTTTGACTGATTGATTATAATTGGGGTATGCCATGGTATGCCCTATTTCCAAACAAGCCCAAACAATGGCACCCCAACAAGGGCAAAACGTAACGTGGCGCCTAGTCTTCGCCGGCAACAAGCTCAGCCCAAGGACCCCACAGCTTTACGTCCTGTCTTGGGATCATGGTGAATCTTACCCAGATGCTCAATGTATCTGGGTAAATTATAATATTTCACTAACCTGAATTAAGGCCATTTGGGGATGATTTCCCTTATTAACCATGATTCCCAGTGAGGTCGCAGTGAGGTCGTTATAATTTTCCCAGATGTATGGAATATTTAACTACATAGAAACCCCAAAAATGGCCCAGTTTTGTAGGAAAATAATCCAGCACCATGGAGCATCTGGGTTACATACCTGCCAAAAGCATCGTTTCTTTTTACTGGTGGATGTACATTTTACCATTGATAGGAGAAGATTATAAAAGATTCAAGTCACCAGTTTCCCATTTATGGAATATGCATATGGTTTATGACTTAAACTAACACACTATTTGATGGATCCCTTCAACGTTCAGCCCAACCCTTAAAGATCCCCCAGTCCCCAGAAACCACGGTGGATGTAGAAGATTGGACAACATATAGAACGGTGATGTTTAATACGCACAGGGGATGGGATTGTTCTATGATTCTATGATATTCTGATCTTACTAGGAGAAGAAGAAGAAGAAGAAGCAAAAACGCCATCCCACATCCAATCTGTTTCGGGAACAATGAGAAAGCTCGACCCTGGTCCTGGTCATCGTTGTTGCCAGCACCGGCCACACGAGCGCCGACTCGGAAGCACAGCAACCTGGCCACCGACTGCTTCTTGTGCTAAGTTGGGGATGGGTCAATTCAAACAGGGAAACAAAGTGTAACTAGACTTCAAACTGATCATGCGTGAACTTGTTCAAGCGTCATGATTTTTCTGCGGAACCTAGAATGTTGTTCCGCACGTTGACCTAGATTCTGCTGGGTTGCCTTAGCTGTTCCACACAATCAAACAAAACACATAGCTTGATAGATGTTTGTGGAGAACCTAGTCCACAGCACCATGAATCAACTGGATGATTCATAAGAGTCATGGAGGTACCCGTCTGTAAACAATGTTGGCAATCTTTTGGGTACGATAATTCTACCGTGAAAATGGATTCCTTATATATATACATATATATATAATGGGATAATAGATAAAATATGATATAATCATATATAAAAACACGAGTTTTCTGGGATTTCCATCCCCTTGGGCCCCTTGGGTTGGAAAATAAACCATGTTTTAATGTTTTGAACATGGCACACGTATATACAAGAATACACACATACATCTATTCTATGATTCTATGTATATATATAATAATATTTAATATATTTTAATATAATGTTCACCAGAGTTCCAGAGAAACTTGACCCACACCCACATCTCGCCGGATTCCGCACCCAGAGGGTAGATTGCCGAGAACAACCTGCCGATGGATCAAGCCACAGCAAGGCTATGATTTATTGTACCGACCTGACCCCCCCAAATGTTACCAGGGGTTGATCAAGGCTTGACATCTCGAAGGCGGAATGGGTCTCGTTTTCCCTTGATGAATGGCCGGGTGCAGCTGTCATTTCCGTCTGACAATTTAGGGGGAAAAACCTCCATAATTGATGGTTTCTCTTGGTTTATCATCATGTTCCATGTAAAAAAAACTATTTTGCAGCGTACATTAGTTCGGGATAAACCCATCCAGGCGTCCCGATTAGCACCATTTAGCCTCCGGTGTCATCAAACATGAATCCCTTAGAAGTATCTATGAAATTCTACAAATGGAGGTGTATGGATGGGAAACTCATCTATAAATGGTGGATTTTCCAGCAAACCATATTTGATTGCCGGAGGATAGCTGGAACTCTTGTGAACATTGGGATGTGCCACTCTCTTTTCACTAACCAGTGGGGAAAAAATTAGGGTTGGGTTTTTCGGTTAGTACATCTGTGTGTGTCATTGTGCGCTATCCCACCGTCTTGCTTAGTGCGCTAACCCCATGTTTTCTTGGTGTCTCCTGGCTCAGTTTCTTCAGGGAATCCCAAGAGTTCCATAGAGTTCCCATATTTCTGGTGAAACCCAGGGCCTTGTTGCTGGCAGAGACCTTGTGTCCCTTCATCTGTTTGGCTGCGCCCTGAGGCGTCAGCCGCGAAACATGGGTTTATACATGGGTTTATCACGGTTTATTCCCATGGTGAGACATTATGGAATGGTACTCTCCTGTAACCATACAGAAAGATGTGGACAACCCACCATTTGTAGATCATTTTCCGAGCAAAACCATGGGCTTTCCACCTCTATAATCCTCTATATATATTAGTTTGCAGGAGGTCCATATAGATTGTTTATCCAATCAAGGCTATATTATCACATTGTGTTCATTGATGTGGTAAACCCACTGATAAACCATGGTCCCCTGAACCCGGATTTGATTGTTTGGGGGAGACAAAACACCACACCAATACAACATGTGTTTCTGACGGGGAATAAACCGTTTATAATATATAGATGTTTATAGTATATAATAGAGTAATACCACATGTATATAGTATATAATATATAATAGAGTAATACCACATGTATAATATAGTAATACCACATGACATGTCCGTCCCTACCCGAGCTGTCGTGGATTCATGGTTCAGTTGCTGCACCAGCGGGATTGGAATCGGCCGGGTCTGAAAATATGGTCTCCGATGGTATCCCCGAATCAATGAGTTATCACGTAGATACCGGGACCCATTGTAACTCAATCCTATTAAAATGGTTGGTCACCAACCAGTTACCTATTAAAATGACAAGTCACCAACCGATTAAAATCCAATTTATATTTTGTCGATAAACAATGCACATTTTATGTAGAAAATAAACCATTTGCCAGTACATTTCGCCATGTCAACGTGGCATCGACAGCACCGAAACAGGGCATCGACAGCGCCTCGGGTGTGCGCCATTCGACATTGTAAGCCACGCGTTTCTCCTGGCGCTGGGACCGAAGGTTGACCCACTTGGACAATTATTCTTTGGACATTGGTTGATTCAACACGTTCAGGATTCCCGATGAACATCCACATCATCCACGTGCATTTTTTGGTTGCATCCCAATGTGTTGGAAAAATACAGCGGCAGGTCACGACTGTTGTACACTCTTGCATGACTCTTTACACCCTGACAGAGCAGTGATTTATCCATTTTTATCATTTACATTCCCGATGTGTTTGATGCTATAAACTCCTTTGTCAGTCAACTCACTCAATACTCAAATCTTTGGTTTGTAAACTGAGCACAAACACATGTTTGCTTCCTAAAGTCCCTACCTATCTACCTATCTACCAATCTACCAATCTACCTATCTACCTATCTAACTATCTTTATTAATCTATATCTACGAACTGTACCCCCGCCAAGTCTACGTTGGTTTATACGCCCATCGAACTAGAGATATACCCCCTATAAAAATCATTTAATGTAGTTATGAACCAACTGAGCTAGTAGAAATCAACTATAAATCCATCTTTTTTTGATCTGTGAAGTCACCTGACATCCAACTTGTTCCATAGTTTTGATGCTCCACAATTATGGACAAACACTTATAGAATATGTAGAAAAAATATGAAAAAAATCAGGCATGTCTGAAAAAAAAATCGAAGCCTGGTGAACTAACGTAGCTACCCTCTAGAGTAAACATACCAAAAACCCTATGGGAAACTCAGCATTTTTCGTGGGCCTCGTGGAGCCCGGGCCACGTCACCTCTAGGGCGTTCCAACTGCGCCTGGAAGGGTTCCAAGTCAGTCATGGGGATTTTCATCAAAAAAACCAACAGAAAAATCACCAAAATATGGAGATTTTGTTGGAAGACCATAGCAATCATAGCAATTCATGGTGATTCCAATTGTAATTCCAATGGTGACTTGGGATATCTTGGGATTATGGTTATTTTAAGTTGGAATAATATAATGTGGTTATATGATGTCACATATATGTGGAAAATATCATCAAATATCACCATATCAGACCCTCCGGGAATTGTGTTTTTGTCAGAGTTTGTGGACTGGGTGTTCCAGCCATGGATATAATTGCAACATGTATCATATCACATGGAGATTGATTTTGTTGGAGTATCATATTAGACCCTCTGGTAACAATATCGCCAATGGAAAAGTTCAAATATCACATGGAATCACTCTATGGTGACAGCCAACGGTAATTCCAATGGTGATTTGCGATTATGATATTATGGATATTTTGTTTGGAATATCAGACTCAGACCCTGTGGTAATTCAACTTGGAAATTGGACAATCCCAAATGCTATTCAGAAAACATGGGATGGGCGATGTTGCATTGGTGAAATGATTGGAGGAAAATCATCCTGGCGTATGCAGACTCTTGCAACCCAACCCAAACAAAACAAGTAGACATTTAGTAAATAAATAAAATGTGATCAACAAATATTAAATAACTTAGATATTAATTTAGTAGTTTTCGCTAGGGGGCTGACGTTTACCCAAAATTCACGGAATTCCATGTGGGGCTGCAATCTGCTGTGTTCTTTAGGTGCGTGTTTTTTGCAAACTGCAAACATAAAACATATTGATATTTCCTGCGTTTGATGGCATTTTTGCGCTTAACTAAGACGGTGCCAAAATCACCTTTTGAAGCATGTCTCAAAGATATCCTCCATAATTTGCAGTGTTGGAGCTGTTAACTCAAAAAACCGCAAGACTTTGAAAGAACACCCGAATAACCTAACCCTAAATATACCCTAAACAAACCCGAAATCAGCCATAAATAACCCTAAATAGACCCTGAAGGAACCTTGAATGAAGCCCTAAAACAACCCTATATAAATAGCAGGAACATTAAGTAAACAAACCCTAAAGAAAATCCAATACACCAACCCTAAGTAAACCCTAAAACAATATTTAATAAAATCCTAAACAAACAACACCGTAAATAAAACCCAATGAAACTTTGAGCGAACGTCTGCCCCGGAGGGTAAATTTTAAATGTAATCAACAAATATTAAACTATTTCATAGACTGTTATCATTGATTTTGGTTTCTATAGTTTTCAGTAAATTGAAGCGTTATATCTATATCTCTTTTGGCTGAATTTACTTTACTATAGATAGAAACCAAAAAAATGTGATCCAAGATGGGTTATTGATGTTTCATCATATGCAATCATCCCAATGCCATGATCCCAGCGGAATCCAAGCTGCGCAGTGACTCGCAGCTCAGCCCAAACAGCAGAAAGACGAGTACCAATGAAGACCTAGAACGAAAAGAAAACATCGCTGGGCACGGGTAACGTTGGAGATCTATTTGGCTTATAACTCATGGTTAATAATTGTTACTTGCTTAAAAATGGTTGTATAATAACTATTAATAACTTGTTAATGATGGTTTAAGACTAGCCTCTGCTTACAAATGATTTAAATGGTTAATGATTCATGATGATATAATTACCGAGCCAAGTGGCTTGCTGGAACGCCAGAATCCGCCAACGAATGACACTTTTCCCAAATTTCAATGACCAATTATATAGTTGGAATAGCGAGGTCAGCTCTTGTAGTATCTGTACAGCAAACATGTATGAGTCATGATGCATAGTCATAATCATGTGCACAAATGTGTATATATATACATATATGATTTGCAACATACAATGTACGTATGTATACATCGTATATATATATTATGCATTTGTATTCATGCATGCACGATTGTGCACGTATGATTATGCATGTATGATTAAATACATGTTAAATACATGTTAACACAAAATCCAATGAATTCAAAACGTCATGTTAACAGGGATTTTGTGGTATCCCAGCCCTCAAGAT